TTGGACGGGAAACATCTGCAAGACAAGTGTGGGCAAAAATTAAGATAGCTGAGGGTGGCAGAGCCCGGCCTGCGGCTCACAAAGACCCCCAAGGTAAGGCTGAAGAACTAATTCACAAGTGGAGTGATGCAGCATCCTCCTCCTCCCTCCCTGCAGAAATCAGCAGGGAACAGCTCCTGCGACATGATGACAGAAGAATTAGGATAACAAGAGCACTGTCTAGTGATGACGAATATGGGGAACCAATCACAGCCCAAGAAGTAAGGGGCGCTATGAAAAAGGGTAAAAGTACTGCACCTGGTGAAGATGGCGTCACCTACGACATACTCAATGCACTGTGTGAAGTGTCTGGGAATCCACTACTCCACCTGTTTAACAAGTCATTCCTAAGTGGAGTGTTGCCCACACAATGGAAACACCCAATAATTGTTCCCATGCCGAAGCCTAATGACCCTGTTAATTACAGACCTATCAGTCTCGTGTCATGCACTTGCAAGATGCTTGAAAGGATCATCCTAAACCGACTGTTGCACAAAATAGGCAGGTTAGGGGAGGGGGTCAATGGATTTGTTAAAGGACGGAGCACAGCAAATTGTATAGTTAATTACTTGACTAATGACACGGCTAGGTACTCTGTATTTGTTGACATCAAAGGAGCCTTTGACAAAGCACAGGGGATTGCGATCCAGGACGAGCTTGCATGCATGGGTGTCAAGGGGAGACTCATGAAATGGGTTGAAGACTACCTCACAGGAAGGAAAGCCAAGGTTTGCTTCAATGGAGCAGTCTCCAGTACAATGAATATGGAACTCGGGACCCCCCAAGGCGGAGTCTTAAGCCCTACATTATTCAATGTACTTATGAACGCCATTGCAAATATTGATTTTCTGGAAGGAACAAAACAAGTGGGATATGCAGATGATGTCCTAATACAAGCTCCCACCTTGGGAAAAATTGAACAGTCCATTGAACTCCTTGGAAGGAAATGTACTGAGCTCGGTTTCACTCTCTCCACAAACAAGACGAAGGCATACTCCCATCGCAAGCGGAGAGCAAATGAAGAACTGCAAATTAATGGTGTAACACTTGAATGGGTTGACCACTATCGGTACCGTGGCATCACTGTCGGCTCTAACAAGGGAAAGAAAGAGGAGCTCAATCAACTCATAGGAACATGCAAAAGTCGACTCAGGACACTGAAAGCTATGACCTGGCATGGACATGGAGCCTCTATTGCCGTGCTTAAAATGATGTACACAGCCTATGTGCGCTCCGTCATAGACTATGCCGCACCAGTTCTGTGCACCTACTCCCAAAGCAATATAAAAAGGCTTGAAAGCATTCAAAATAAAGCCATGCCAATCATTCTTGGAGTTCCAAGGACTGCCAAAACGTCTAATCTACGAGAGGAGTTGTCCCTTCCCAGTGTTAAAAGCAGAATTCAGGAGCTGAATGCTAAGCTGCAATTAGGATAGCCAGAGATCCCCATTACAATGATATTGCTAAGAAGAAACTGAGCTCTGTGCTACTTTCAGGGGGAAACAGAAGCAAAAAATGGCATCACAGATCAGTCTGCTAACTCGAAGAACTTCACCTGCTTGAGCAAGCCCGTGAGCTCCTGCCTGTAGAGAGGTTACCTCCCTGGGAGGATGACTCATGCAAGATGATGATCAATGAAATGGCAACGAAAAAATCCAACATGATACCACAAGAAATGAGGCACAAGTATCTCGAGGAAATTTATAAAGAAGCCGGAGATGAACTAGATCAAATCTACACTGACGGGTCATCTAATCCTGTCAATGGCAGGGCTGGTGCAGCGTACACGGTAATCAAGGATAATACTTTCCAACGCAGAAATGAAGAAAAAGCACGTATTGAGAACTATGCCTCTTCAACGCAAGCAGAGCTAACTGCCATTGTTATGGCGTTAAGGTTTCTTGAACGGAACACTAATGGTGCAGTGATTTGCACCGATTCAAAAGCAGCACTGCAAAGCCTAAGTAAAAATCGGGCAGAAAATCTTGCAATAGTCGCTGAAATTAAGAGAGCTGTGAGAGTATTAACCAATCAGGGAAGAGTCATCAAGTTTCTGTGGATCCCCTCCCATGTTGGAATATGTGGAAATGAACGAGCAGATGTGCTGGCTGCTGAAGGCGCTGAAGGAGACCATATTGAATACTTCATACCCAAGACTCAACTACAAATTAGAGGTATTGTCAGGCAACATCACCGTGACAAGGTAACTGAGGAAAGGAGGATAGAAGCACAAACTAGTGAATCTATACGATGGTACAACATGGTTGCAGCTGGCAATCCCAATCGTTATGGCCGAAGAGGAGGAGGACGAGGGAGGGAATCAGTAATAGCAAGAATCCGTCTTGGATACAAATATCCTTGGAGATATGGAATGGAAACAACAGTTGATCAGCGAAGTTGCAGAATCTGTGGGGAGAGTGACGGACACCGCCTTGACCACTATCTACGTGAATGTGAACACCTGAGAGACATCAGAAATATGTGTAGAATAATAAACTCCACATTGAGTTAGGAAAACACTATTTGTCAAATATTGATGCTGTTCTTAAAAGATTTCCCCATTTTGCACCAGCAAGATAACGTAAGCTTTTAAGGGTTGATAGATGTTAATCTTCTTGTTTGAGGAGCTGTTCACTTGAGACAGTTAAGCAAGTCCCAGCTGTGTCTGGGTACAAGTGACAGGATGAACAACCCAGCGGGTTTTCTTCCTATTGGGGAGTGTTGTACATGCTGCTATGGCGGTGTGTCCACTCACAAGATGAGTGACGCTGCCCAATAAACTCGCCCCTCGGGGCAAAATTTAAAAATTTAAACATACACCCGGGAACACATTACGTAAACAAACTGATAGACTTCCTGCATTTTGAAACCCTTTTACACCCTAAGACTGGACCTCTTCTCTTTTTTTTCGACGTTTGTGTTTCCCATTAAAAACGGAAGCTGTTCACTGAACAGGAACGCCCAGTCATAGCCCACCTAAGGACACACACACACACACACACACGACACAGTACACGATACCTAATCCTGGGATGAAGAATTTGCATGCAGTTGAAGAGGTCTTTGGAAAGAAACGTAACCTAACCTATCCTTACCACACCTATCCTATCCTAAGCTACCTCCACAGGTGCTCTGGAGGGAGGTGGTGTAGCAGATGAGGCTGGGTGTGTGGGAACAGATGTTGTGGGGGTGACATGTGAGACTGTGTTTGGTAGTGCATGTGTTGGGATGTGAGGGGGATCAACCCGTTCTCTCTCCCCAGGCACCACTCCTGTGCCAGGTAAGTCCACTACGGGCTCACCATAGCCCGTGCTACTTGCCCCGCTCCTGTGCCAGGTAAGTTACGGGCTCACCACAGCCCGTGCTACTTGCCCCGCTCCTGTGCCAGGTAAGTTACGGGCTCACCATAGCCCGTGCTACTTGAAACTTGTTCCGAGTAGCTGAAACTATAACAACAACAACAACATTCTCTTAATTGATACGTCTCATTTTGTACGTTATGGTCCTCCAACGTACAAAATACAAAGTACTATGGAAAGTAGTGGATCACAAATATCCTCGTTTTCTATGCATAAGTAGGTTAGGTGGGTTGCTTGGATTTGTTTGTTTCCGGTTAGGTTAACACTTTGTACTGTATACGTTAGCAAGAGAACATACACACAGCATACATGCTCTCACAAATACATACACAAAACACACAAACATATCCATATACAGATGTGTAGTTACAGAGCGACACTAACAAGCAGCAGCAGTTTCTGACTATAATCTCATGGGATAATGAATGATCTCAGCATGAGTATTAAACTAAACACTGGCAACCAGTCTCCGTGGTGTAGTGGTAAGACACTCGCCTGGCGTTCCGCGAGCGCTATGTCATGGGTTCGTATCCTGGCCGGGGAGGATTTACTGGGCGCAATTCCTTAACTGTAGCCTGTTTAACTCATCAGTAAAATGTGTACTTGGTTGTAACAACGATTCTTCGCGGCGGGGATCGTATTCCAGGGTATCCCGATATCCCGAAACGCTACGCGTACTAGTGGCTGTACAAGAATGTAACAACTCTTGTATATATCTCAAAAAAAAAAAAAACTCATCACCGTGACAATATCAGCAACACTGGCAACTCATCACCGTGACAATATCAGCAACACTGGCAACTCATCACCGTGACAATATCAGCAACACTGGCAACTCATCACCGTGACAATATCAGCAACACTGGCAACTCATCATCGTGACAGTATCATCAACACTGGCAACTCATCATCGTGACAGTATCATCAACACTGGCAACTCATCATCGTGACAGTATCATCAACACTGGCAACTCATCATCGTGACAGTATCATCAACACTGGCAACTCATCACCGTGACAGTATCAACAACACTGGCAACTCATCATCGTGACAATATCAGCAACACTGGCAACTCATCATCGTGACTATCAGCAACACTGGCAACTCATCATCGTGACAGTATCATCAACACTGGCAACTCATCATCGTGACAGTATCATCAACACTGGCAACTCATCATCGTGACTATCAGCAACACTGGCAACTCATCACCGTGACAATATCAGCAACACTGGCAACTCATCACCGTGACAATATCAGCAACACTGGCAACTCATCACCGTGACAGTATCAACAACACTGGCAACTCATCATCGTGACAGTATCATCAACACTGGCAACTCATCATCGTGACAGTATCATCAACACTGGCAACTCATCATCGTGACAGTATCATCAACACTGGCAACTCATCATCGTGACTATCAGCAACACTGGCAACTCAATATGGCAATTCTCATCACCTTCGTAAGTATGACTTGCCGAGATGATGGTTAAGTGCTGTTTCTGATTGCGCACCTCTTAAGCCTTATCTCTTATGTTTTTTGTTTACGCTCATACTTGGTGGAATGTAGAATGGTCGTGCGATAAGCGTGGACACAAGTCGTGTCTTAAGTCGAGGCGAAGGTCGTGAGGTAGTGTTGTCGGTGCCGCCGAGCCCAGAGGTCGCCCAAACCTGGCTGCCAGCCCTCCGTCACGTGGCCGTCGTCCTCACATTACAGTGTTATTTTTCCCCCTCGACAAACAGCAAGTACAATATTGTACATCTGTGATTCGTCAAAATAGTGTTCAGTACATCACGTTAAAATTCATACAGTCTCAAGGGGAGATAAACCTAAGTTCTTGCTTCCGGGGATTTGTGGAGGAAGAGACGGGAAGCCATGGGTGGAGCAGGAGGCTTCAACACAGCGCTAACACGGCCCTGGGGACCAGCGGCCCTCCTGCTGCTGGCTGCTGCCTCAACCTCTGCAGGTACGTCGCCGTAACACCACCCGGTTCTTAAACGATTTCGCAGGTTGTATTCCGGGGGAAAAATTCGGATCACACAGTCTCCGTGGTGTAGTGGTAAGACACTCGCCTGGCGTTCCGCGAGCGCTATGTCATGGGTTCGTATCCTGGCCGGGGAGGATTTACTGGGCGCAATTCCTTAACAGTAGCCTCTGTTTAACGCAACAGTAAAATGTGTACTTGGATGAAAAAACGATTCTTCGCGGCAGGGGATCGTATTCCAGGGACCATAGGATTAAGGACCTGCCCGAAACGCTATGCGTACTAGTGGCTGTACAAGAATGTAACAACTCTTGTATATATAAATATAAAATTGAAAAAGCTCTCCACGTCCTCTCCATCGTTCACAGCCTAAGGTAAGTAAGTCATGCTCAGAACCTATCCAAGAACCTGTGGATACAGACGCCCGCTGACATGTTTAGTATACGGGTCACTGACCTGAGGGGCAGTGACACGTCAACAGTGATGTAATATATCCGAGAGCATGGGTTGTTGATGAGTGTGATGACGGTGTCATCACACTCATCACCAGGTAACTGATGGTGTCATCATACTCATCATCAGGTAACTGGTGGTGTCATCATACTCATCACCAGGTAACTGGTGGTGCCATCATACTCATCACCAGGTAACTGATGGTGTCATCATACTCATCACCAGGTAACTAATGGTGCCATCATACTCATCACCAGGTAACTGATGGTGTCATCATACTCATCACCAGGTAACTGGTGGTGTCATCATACTCATCACCAGGTAACTGATGGTGTCATCATACTCATCACCAGGTAACTGATGGTGTCATCATACTCATCACCAGGTAACTGATGGTGTCATCATACTCATCACCAGGTAACTGATGGTGTCATCATACTCATCACCAGGTAACTGATGGTGTCATCATACTCATCACCAGGTAACTAATGGTGCCATCATACTCATCACCAGGTAACTGATGGTGCCATCATACTCATCACCAGGTAACTAATGGTGCCATCATACTCATCACCAGGTAACTGATGGTGTCATCATACTCATCACCAGGTAACTGGTGGTGTCATCATACTCATCACCAGGTAACTGATGGTGTCATCATACTCATCACCAGGTATGGTGATATGGTTAATAATTAAGTTATAAACAAATTAATTGTTTGTGGGGCAACTAATAGGTTACTTTGACTAATTATGGGTAATTAGTGCCAGCTGTCGGTGGAGCGACAGTGTGTTGAGTTAGCGTACTTTCATTGCTGTAGTTACACGGTACGTTAGTTAGTTAGTTAGCTGTTGGTGAGACAGTTAATTACTTACTCTGGCTAATTAGGGGTAATTAGCCATCCATCAAAGTGATTCTACACAGTAACTCATTGCAGGTTGTTGCAGAAGTATGAGGCAGTGATGTAGGTGTATAGATATATATTGTTGCCCAACCGTGTGTGTCATTACTGTGGGTGTTCACAGTAATTAACGTGTTGCAGAAGGTTGCAAGTGTATAAGACTGTCACATTTATGTATATATCACTGAGTGGTGTGACTTGTGTCACTTATGTTGTGTTGCTTGTCTGTGGAGACAAGATCCTGGTGTGTTCTTGTATTGATCATGGCTCATTAAGGATGCAGTGAGTTAATTAGGGGGTAATTAACTTCATAAGGGGTTGTACATTGTTGAATGAGGGAACTGTTGAAAGGGCAGCTGCACCTGGTTAACGAGATACGTTTCAGGTGCAACTAATTGACCGCGGGACAGCTAACTGCTCACTCTAGCTAATTGTGTAATTAGCATTTTCATCGTGAATTCACATAGTGTGCAACCTGTTCTCGCACTTTCTTACAGTCAATATTGACTTATTAATTAAATACCTGCATATGCAATATAATACACATACTAGTTTACCTTGAAAAGCTTCATAGAAAACACCGACCTTACCTAACCTTCTTAGTATATTAAGATAAGCATCTTATTGCTTCGTAATTACAATTATTACTTAACCTATACCTATAATAGGTTAAGTAATAATTGTAATTACGAAGCAATAAGATGCTTATCTTAACATGCTAAGAAGGTTAGGTAAGGTCGGTGTTATCTATGAAGCTTTTCAAGGTAAACTAGTATGTTTAGTATGTCACATATGCACGTATATAATAAGTCAATAATGACTATACGAAAGTGCGAGAACGGGTTGTAGTGTGTGTGGAGGGACTGTTGATAGGGCGACAGTATTGTGTGTTGACGTAAATTGCTCTTGACTAATTACCTGTCTGTATGATGGCTGATTAGTGCATCATATTAATTAGGATAGTTAATTAATGTCACAAGGTATGACTGACTGTCGTAGGGCGAAGTCATTGGGCTAGCATATTTCGTTGGATTAATTATATCTGTCTGCGGGACAGTTGATTAGCACTTATGTTAATTAGGGTAATTAACATCTCTTCCGTGAATTCACTATGTTTGATGAGACCTGCTTAGGCAGTGTTGAGTGAGACGTATCCGTGAATAATTAATAATCGGTCCGTGGGACCGTTACTTAATTGTTCAATGTTAATTAGGAGTAATTAACGCTCATTAAAGTAAAACTTGACATAGACTGGGGAGAAGCTACCGAGAGAGTGGTAAACTTAGTTAACGTAACTCACTTGGGTTTTATTAGCTGTCCATTTGACAGTAATTAGTAATTACTTATGGAAGTCTTAATGGGTAAAGTGTGATGTAATTAAGAGCTAATGAGTTATTGTTTAACAGTTTGACTTACCTGTAGGAGACAAGTGTGTGTGATTAACGTAGAGTACTAATGTTGTTTCATTGTCTGTGGGACACAAGTGTTGTGTTTAAAGTAATTAATCACAGAATCAATTAGTAATTGATTAAGGCAATTTGCTTGATTATCGTCTTTGGAGACGATAGTTAAAGTAACTTGGGGATTACCGGAGAAGGGTCTTAGGGTCCCACCTTGCCTGGCTGTGTTTACGTTTGCAACTTAATTGCAGGGAGTCACAGAGAGTATTAATTAATGTAATTGAAAAGGAGAAAAGGAGACTTGTTTTATAACCTGCCTTGATGTTGATTGAATAGTTACTGTATTGCAGACTTGCAAGGGTTTGTTTATTGCCATCTTGTGTCGTGAGTGGGCACACCATTGTTCAGCTAGTTCATTTAGTCAGCCCAAAGCGACAACAGAACGGAGACTGTTGTATATTCTCGATGGGCTATTGAACACCTGTCTTACAATGTGCCACTAGATGGACATTAACGTAACACTTTCTGTTGTAGTAAACTTAATCTTGTTGATTAATTTGCCTCATCAGTGGGCACACCTGTGTTCAGGGTAGTTCAGTATTCAGCCTCGTAGCAATGGACAGGAGTCGTTGCTTGACATGGTTGTTAAGTAGCTGTCTTTAAAGTGCCACTGGATGGACATTAACTTAACGTTAACTCATAGTTGTAGTAGTTTAGTTCTTTGTTAATAAACTGTTAATTTTTATCGAAAACGGTCCTTTATGTCAACCCTTCAACTTTATTATTCGTTCTGTATTTGTCGATTGTTCTAGTAATGTGATCTCTTAATGACGGTCTGCTTCTGGGAGTTTGATCCTGATTCATAGCGCCACACATCACAATAATTTGATGTGAGAAGCCACGAGTTACCCTTACTTGTGCTATGGTATAAAGGAGCCTGACGACCTGGTGGATAGAGACTTAACCCTAGGGCGAAGTCCCGGCGGTTGCTTCCGCCTTCCTATGGTCTCTTGCCTAACATAAAAGCTGCACTTGTACAGTCATAAGAACATAAGAACAAAGGTAACTGCAGAAGGCCTATTGGCCCATACGAGGCAGCTCCTATCTATAACCACCCAATCCCACTCATATACTTGTCCAACCCGCGCTTGAAACAATCGAGGGACCCCACCTCCACCAGTCCTTTTTGCTTGAGGTCCACTTCCTAGAGAGGTAAGCGTAAGAAAATTCTCACATGTGGAACTCACTTCCTAACGAATTGAAAAGCTGTCTAACTTTATTTACTAATTACTAAACCTACTAGAATTACTGGCACTACTGTCTCTACTCTTGACCACATCTGGACTATCAAACCCTCTCCACTTACCTCAGGAATAATCACTGATAGGACCACAGACCATTACCAAACATTTCTTCTAACCAACATTAATAAACTTCCTCTAGAAACAATAAAGATAAGCTTTAGGCTGCACTATGAACTTCTATAAGCAACTTTATTGCTGCTGCTGCTAATATTAACTGGGAGACTGAAACAGGTAACATAGTGAACATCAACCTTGTGGTGTAAACATTTCTTCAAAAACTCTGAGCCTCTATAACACCCACTGTCCAATGCTAACTAAACAAGTCACAACTAAAAGGTTAATCAATCCATGACTTACTAAAGGTATGCTTAAAATTATTAATAAAAACCATGACCACGAGAAGAAGTATAGGTTAGGGGTCATCTAAAATGAAGGTTTCAAGGAGATTTCTCATCAATGCTGTCCAAAATAATCAGGAGAGCCAAAATAAAATACTATGAAAATAAATTATATCAAATTAAGGGCAACATTAAGAAAACATGGAACATTATCGCCCAAATATTAGGATCAAATAAGATCTTGAATAAGAAGCCAATACTCCTATCTGATAACGATGGTGTGCTTTCTGCCTCTGACACTGCCACTAAATTCAGTAGCTTCTTCTCATCCAGTGCCAAATCCCTTGCAAATGATATCCCATCTTCCCTAATTAATGTTAAGGATAACCTTACAGTGAACTATGCAGAGTCTCTTAAAACAAAGTCAAGTGCCCTTGCTGAGATACCAACTCTAATTTACAAAAAAGCCTCCAGATTTCTAGCTCCAGCCATTGCATTGCTCTTCAACAAATCACTTAAACTCCAAACCTTTCCTGATAAGCTAAAAAGGCAAGAGTAACCCCAGTCAACAAATTTGGTGATTTCA